TGAATATGAGGAAGATTTACCTCTTCATAATATACTTCATAATAAAACACATAAAACACTTCATAATACAACAGAAGAAAAAACAGCATTTTGACTGTTTTCACCAAATCATTACATAAGCCTGAAGATCGGAAAATAGATCAAGGCTGGAGATGCCTTCATAGCATAGTAACACTACAGAGGGTAACTGAAACAGTCGGAGGGATGAGGGTAAGTGGGCATGGAGAGAGGAGGATGGGTAAAGAACGCTAAAGGAAGCTTATCCGTATGCCTCAGAATCCTCCCCAGGATTAGAGTGTTACACTGGGAGAGGGAAGGATGATCTCGGGAATACTGCTTACTAGGAAGAGAATAGAAGTGAAATGGAGCTACAAGACTAAACTTCTATGTACACAGAAAGTCCCTGCAGGAAAAAAATGAAAAAGAAATGATACCACTTTGCTTTTTTTTTTTTTTTTTTTTGAGATGGAGTCTCACTGTGTCACCCAGGCTGGAGTGCAGTGGCACAATCTCGCCTCACTGTAACCTCTGCCTCCTGGGTTGAAGGGATTCTCCTGCCTCAGCCTCCTGAGTAGCTGGGATTACAGGCACATGCCATCATGCCCAGCTAATTTTCTTATTTTTAGTAGAGACCGGGTTTTACCATGTTTGTCAGGCTAGTCTTAATTCCTGACCTCGCAATTCACCCACCTGGGCCTCCCAAAGTACTGGGATTACAGGTGTTAAGACACCGCACCCGCCCATTTAGCCCTTGTTAAAGAGAGAAAATGATGTTGTTAATGTTCTAAAGCACGGCTTTACTGAGACCCTACTGATTGCTGGATTCCCTTGCAGAACTTTTTCTCTGAGACAAGAATTCCAGGATTTTATACATTGTTGGTGTACCCCATGGGAGGAGGAATTTGCCCTTGAAAATCAGGATCCAGGGTTAAGAGGAAGAGTTGTTCAAAACAAACATCTCATCTCCACTAAAAGCAAAGCACCTGCAAGCTAAGCTGTAGCAAAGCAAGGCTGGAAGGAAGATGGAATGGGAAGTTGCACATGGGAGAGTAATCTTGCTTATTCTCTTTATGAGTTTAATTATGGCCACTACCAAAGAGCTGCCCCAAATGTCATACCCTTGGGGAAAGGGAACCACACAATGGCAGAAGAAAGGAAAAAAGGAAATTAACAGTAGAAATAACTCATTTCATCTGCCTCATAATTCATTTAATAGCATGGTATGAATAGGCCAGTTATAATTGTTTGGTCCCAAAGCGTTTTATCAAAATGTGAAATTTTCATTTACTCTGATCACAGTTAAATTGTGCCCTAAGTGTGGTGGCACATGCCTGTAGTCCTAGCTATTTGGAAGGAGGGTTTGATTCAATATAATCAAGGATGAGGCACGAGAATCACTTGAACCTGGGAGGCAGAGGTTATACTGAGATGAGATTGTGCCACTGCACTCCAGCCTGGGTGACAGAGCAAGACTCATCTCCCTGCCCCCCCAAAAATTATGCCCTTAGTCAAAAAATATAATTGATAAAAATGTTTAGTGTTATTCTTTAGTAAAGAAAGCATTGACAGTATTAATCATTGATTGTACATAATCATCCTCAACAGTTACCATTTATTTAATACTTATGGTGTCTGTGATTTTACATTTAATCTTATTTAATAGTCCTCTAAATCTATCTGATAAATATTATCCCCATTTTGCAGACAAGGAAACTAACGCTCAGAGAGCTTAAGGCTTCGTTTAAATCACACAATTATTTAGGGAAGGTGGGATTAGAAGTGGAACAATCTGTCTCCTGAAATCCTCAATTTACTCCATTAACACCACAGTATCTCTCCAGGTTTTAGCATTTTAAGCTTTCCTCCCTTCCTTCCCTGCCTTCCCTCCCTCCCTCTCTCCCCTCTCTTTCTTTCTTTCTGACAGTCTCACTCTGTTGCCCAGGCTGCAGTGCAGCAATGTCATCTCAGCTCACTGCAACCTCCACCTCCTGGGTTCAAGCTATTTTCCTGCCTCAGCCTACCTACCCAGTAACTGGGATTACAGGCGCACGCCACCACACACTGATAATTTTTATATTTTTAGTGGAGACCGGGTTTCACCATGTTGGCTAGGCTGGTCTTGAAGTCCTGACCTCACGTGATCCACCTGCCTTGGCCTCCCAAAGTGCTGCGATTACCAGCATGAGCCACCATGCTTGATCCGTTTTAAGTTTTCTAGAATTTGATTTCTCCTAGGCTCAATAAAAAGTAAGCAATGGTTTAACAGGACTAGTAAGGACTAACTTCTTAGGTGCCTCTGAGTTAAAAAAAAAAAATTGGTTTGGCGCTATCATAGTTTTAGTTAAAATACCTCATAAACCCTTATTTGGTTGTACTCATTCTAACCAAGTGTGTGATTTTTGGCCAAGTCATTTAAACTACTTGAGTTTTCATCGAGTGGCGCTACAAGGCACTCACACCTGTAATCCCAGCATTTTGGGAGGCTGAGGTGGAAGGATTGTTTGAAGCCAGGAGTTCTAGAGGAGCCTGGCCAGCATACAGAGATCCTGCCTCTAAAAATAATTTAAAAAAAAAATTAGCCAGGCATGGTGGTGTGCACCTGTACAGGTCCCAGCTACTTTGGAGGTTAAGGTGGGAGGGTCACTAGACTCCAGGAGTTCGCAGCTGCAGTGAACTGAGATCATACCACTGTACTCCAGCCTGGGCAACAGTGAGACCTTGTCTCAACTCCCCCCCCCCCCCCACAAAAGACCAAAAACATAATTTACTGGGCCATTAATTATCAAAAAGATCTGGGTCAATATTCTGCTGCTATTGTTATCTGTGCCTCCATCCTGGGCAAGTACGCTTTTCTTTTTACAAATCTTACTTTTCTCTATAGTTGGGGGTCTTGCTATGTTACCCAGGCTGGCTCGAACTCTGGGGCTGAAGGATCCTCCTGCCTCAGCCTTCGGAGTAAATGGGACTACAGGCATTTGCTGAGCCTCCTGGGCAAGTAAATTAAGATCTCTGAGCCACACCTGCTTCCTCTTTCAAAGAGTACTGTCTTAGTTGCTATAACAAAATACTATAATCTAGGTGGCTTAAGCAATAGAAATTTGTCGTATTTCTAGAGGTTAGCAGTCTGAGATTAGGGTGCCAGCATGACTGGATTTGGGGGAGGGCCCTCTTCTCTTGTGTTCTTGCTGTGTCCTCACGTGGTGGAGAGAGAGAACTCTTTCTCACAAGGACATTGATCCCATCATGGAGGCTCTGCCCTCATAACCCCATCTAAATCTAATTACTCCCCAAAGGTCCACTCCAAATACCACCAGGTTGCGGTTAGGGCTTTTAACGTATGAATTTGGGGGTGAACAAGAGATACTAATGCCCATTTCATAGGGTCCCTATAAGGCTTAAGGCAGGAATTAATATAGGAAAGCCCTTAAAGCCGGGTCTGGCTTGTAGGTAGTTCAAATATTCAAGAAACACTGAGCACCTACCTGGAGGCAAGCACTGAACGTGCCACATAAAGCTATATTGCAAAACGAGTCACATGCAGCCAGTCTCTGGACTTTTGGAGGTTTAGAACTAGAAGAGAACCCGCACATAATTGGATGTGTGTATCTACTACACACACAGGTGATACGATGCACCTGAGAGAATCTAGTCTAGGAACTAGGAAAACCTTTAAGGAGTGATACTTGAGCTGCAATCTGAAGGACGAGGAATGGGGAAGGGTACAATTTCAGGTTCCAAAGGGAATCTGCGCAAAAGCCACGAGGCAGCAAGGTGCAGGGGCTTTTAATGACCTAAGGGAACGCCCTCTTGGGGTTGGGAGCACGAGGGCCAGAGGAGGTTTTGACAAGAGGCTAGTCATAGAGCAGAGAAAAACGTTAAAGAGTTTTAAGAAAGGGACTTGCTAACATGAGTTTTGTGTTTGGAAATGTTTTAGGCGACTACACCGTGGCCTTGGGACTGGCTGGGACCTGAGTAGACACTTGGATACCAGCTAGAAATCTACAGCAGGAAACCAGGTGAGCATGAGGCAACTGGGGATGTTGTGGAGCAGAAACGGAGAGAAATGGGTGCCTTCGAGACAAGTTGGGGGAAAAAATGCAAGGACTGGGAAATTAACTCTGGGGACGGCAGGGAGGCGTGACGGGTTGCTCTGCAGGTTTTAGCTGTAAAATACAGTGATCAGTGAAAGATCTATAGGAAGAAGGTGGGCACACTCTAACAAAAAAAACCATTTTCTTCCCAATTTTATACAAGTCATATTTTAAAAGTAAACCACATCTTTTCAGACATGCCTTTGGGCTATTTTTAACTAGTTAGAATAAGATGCAAACTTTCCTTATTTTTACTCAGTTACTATATACGCAAACAGCTGGGGTGAGAGGGAAGAAAAGGTTGCTTTCCTAGGAATAAAGAGAGTGGTACCTTCAGTATCCCGGGCAAAGCTTTTCCAAGTTCAACGGTAATGAAAAGAGTGCTTTTTATAGATAACACTCAACTAAAAGTTTCTGCGTTTGTGGTTATTCCAACGGTTAAGTTCAGACGAGTCCTTGGAGTCGCAGCTCCCGAGAAACGGCGACTGGCTTTCCACCTGGACTTCTTCCCTTCAGGCTGCCCAGGGCGGCTTCTGGCCCCGCCCGCTCTCCCGCCAACTCTGGCTCCCGACTGCGGCCCCGCCCCTTCGGTCTGGCCGCGCGCGCTCGAAGCCCCGCCCCCGGGCCCCACGCGCCCGGATTGCAGTTTCAGCCGTCCTGTCCCGCCCCCAGACACCTAGGCCCCGCCCCCTCCGTCCCGTGGCGAGTTCTCGCGGCTCCGCCTCTAGGCCCCGCGCGCCGGAACTTTGGCAAGTTTCAGCCGTCCGGCCCCGCCCCCTCGGTCCCACGAATCTTGCGGCCCCGCCCCTGCGTCCCGCGCGCCGGGGCTCTGGCAAGTTTCAGCCTCCAGCCCCACCCCTAGGCCCCGCCCACTCAGCCAGCGGGTGGCTCTCGCGGCCCCGCCCCCTGCCGGCCCGCCGTCCGAGTGGCGGGAAGAGCTCTGCAGGGGTCGAGTCGCTGGCCTGCGGCTTCCCTGTGGTTTCCCGAGACCGCCTTGCCGCCGGCTCTCCCAGGAGCCTTTCACGCGAAGGCGCGGCGATGCCGGGGAACCGGCAGCCGACCGTCCGCTCCGGGAACGAGCCTTGCTCTGCGCCAGCCATGGGTCCGGCCGGTGGCGGGGCGTGGGCCCACAGCCGAGCCGCGCTCGACCGCCTGGAGAAGCTGCTGCGTTGCTCGCGTTGGTAAAGACGGGGTCTCGAGGGGGTGGCCGCGCGGGCACCGGTCGCCCAGGCTCTGGGGGCGCGGGACTCTTTTCAAATCTTCTGTTTCCTCCTTCCGTTCCCGCGCTGCAGTCGGGTCGGCGTTCAGTTAGCGTCTGCCCAGGGATCTAGTGTTACCAACTTTTGCCTCTCATTCACTTTCTTTTGGGGAGACTTCCCAGCCTCCCCTTGCCCTAAATCCAACTGCAACGGTAGTTTTTGAATTTCAGCGGGCTGAAGAACCGTCTGGAGGTGTGGCTAACCCATAGGCATCCCGGCCCCGCCTCCGGAGTTTGAATCTAGGGCTGGAGTGGGGCTAAGGCTTCTCATTACCCCGCTGCGTTCCAGGAGCTGTGGCGCATTGGGCTGCCAGGCCCACTTGGACATCCTCTAAATTAGAAGCAGCTGCCGCTCTAAGTTAAACTGGGCTTTTTGATATTTTCTCCGTGCCAGCTTTTTCTGGTGGGATAGGATGGCGTATTGAGAACCTACCTTAGATTGGAAATGGCAGGAAATTTCTGGTTTCCTTAGTTTGCTCGAAAGGCTGTATTTCTGGTGTCGCAGCTTTTAGTGATGCTGTTTGTACTGTTTTCCTTCATGTTGCTATATTATGGGAGTCCTCTAAGTACTAAAAGGCTTCGTCTCACTTTTCATTTCTTTTAAAAAGCATTTTTATTGAGCACTTGCTGTGTGTATAGCTAAGTGTTTCTGTATGAAGATCACTGGCAGGTTTTTTGTTGTTTGTAAGAGCCACAAGCATATTTTTGGACTTCTTTTTTTCCCTTTGATTTCTAACTTGCAGAACTTAAGTTACTTAGTTGCACGAAGTATAAGCAACACAATTTTTTCTTTAAAAACGAAAAGGACTTAACTGTCAAGAGTTTTTCACTTATATTTTACGAAGACTATCAATGTCTGACAAAACGACATTGCACTTGTTAGAAAAGTGATACTTTTGCTAGAGTGAGTACATGAAGACATTGAGTTGGGTGTTTTCCTGTAGCACATGGGTCGTCCGAGAATAGGAAGTTTAAAACTGGCACTGCTAGTTGCAATAACAGAAGCATTATAGTTCACACCTTAACAGTCCAATAGAAGTTAGACATTCCGTTGGCTCATATCTATATGGAAGCATAGGGCTTTACTTAGACTGTAGAGTCAGAATACCAGAGTTCAGGTTCTGGCTTTGACCCTATTGAATAGGCCAAGTTATTCATCTCGCTGAGCCTCATTTCCCACATATGAGTAATACTAAAGATTAGTTCATTCTCTTGTGAGGATTCATTAATAATGATAAATTTATCGAACACACATGTTGGGGATTTGTTAGTGAACAAAGCAGACAATAAATCCCAGCCGTTAGGGAGCTTACATGGAAGAAACTAAGTGAAATTTTATATGTATGTGAAGCGTTGAGTTTGGTGGTTGTGATAGCATAAATCATAAAAGTGTCTTAATCCTAAAGAATGTGGTGTTTGCTTACTACATGTATTGGGAGAGACCAAATAGGTGATACATATGAGTAATCTATATGTTGTCCTTTTTATGCCTTACTAAGTATTTTTCCAGTTTCTTTTTTTTTTTTTTTTTTTTTTTTTTTTGAGACAGAGTTTCGCTCTTGTTACCCAGGCTGGAGTGCAATGGCGCGATCTCGGCTCACCGCAACCTCCAACTCCTGGGTTCAGGCAATTCTCCTGCCTCAGCCTCCCGAGTAGCTGGGATTACAGACACGCACCACCATGCCCAGCTAACTTTGTATTTTTAGTAGAGACGGGGTTTCTCCATGTTGACCAGTATGGTCTCGATCTCTTGATCTCGTGATCCACCTGCCTCGGCCTCCCAAAGTGCTGGGATTACCGGCTTGAGCCACCGCGCCCGGCCTATTTTTCCAGTTTCTAACTGCAGTGGACATTAAGAACCAAAGGAATGTAAGTAGACATTAGTAACTAAGCCCAGACTTTTAACATGGCTCACCTATTTGACTGGAGAATGCTATTGAATGCCATTGCACTCCTATGATTTTTTTTTTTTTTTTTTTTTTTTTTTCAGTTACTTTGTATCTGAACCTCTATGGTTGAACTAAATCTTAACTCTTAGAATGCATGTTTTCACATAGGGGTCTGCAGATTTTTTCAGTAAAGGGTTGGATAATATTTTATACTATGTTGCCCATGAAGAATTTTTGTTCTTGTTATTTTACGTCTCTTAAAATTTATGTAAAAACCATTCTTTCCAAAGGGCTATACAAAAACAGGCTGCTGTCTTGCCCACAGGTAATAGTTGCTAAACTGTTGAGAAAATATTAATAAACTTAATGTCTTGAGTTTAAAAATCCTTTTTGCTGTACAATTTTATATCACATGGGCTGTTTTTTGTTGTTGTTGTTGTTGTATTTTTTTTTAAGACAATGTCTCACTCTGTCACCCAGGCTGTAATGCATTGGTACAATTTCAGCTCACTGCAACCTCCGCCCTCAGGTTCAAGCAATTCTCTTTCCTCAGCCTTTAGAGTAGCTGGGACTACAGGTGCATGCCACCATGCCTAGCTAATTTTTGTAATTTTACTAGAATTGGGGGGTTTCACCATGTTGGCCAGGCTGGTCTTGAACTCCTGACCTCAAGTGATCAGCCCACTTGGGCCTCACAAAGTACTGGAATTACAGGTGTGAGCCACCATGCCTGGCCTCTACATGGCTTTAATATTTAGAAATGATTTTGCTTTCCTCTCTTAATGTCTCTGCAACTTTGGCACTATCTATAGTGAAAACAGCATGACCAGCTGCACCTTACCCAAAGTGGAAAAACATTCTTCCTACCTCTGCCTTTGCCCTGGTAGCCCCCTGACATTTCTAGCAAGGAGCAACTTGGTCTGCTGCTTACATTTGCTACCCTCCATTTAAAACTGTATCTTATTATTTGAAGTTGTATCAGTATGTCCTTTTACAGAGTTTCAGAGTTCAACCCAGTGGGCTAGTGATTACCCGGATTACCCTCACATTCAGCTTGCAGCTGTCATCTGTCTTGTGTTGCACATGAATCTATTTTGCAGCATGCATTACTTTCTGGTGAGGGTGAATTGTGAATTGGCTACGAAACGGGGCATCCTTTCTTGACCTTTAACGTGAATGTGGCTTCAAGGTGAAGCTGTTGAAAGTGTTCAGGAGGCCGGATGTGACATTTGTGTTAGGACCAAGCCTCACAACCAGACGTAAACTATTTAAAGATTTGGAAAAATGAGACAGGAAGACCATATCTTTTGAGAGGCTGGCAGAAAGTGTAGTAATAATGTGTTCCTAAAGGAAGCAGGAAGTGATAGGAGCTATACTGTAGAAGCCCCAGCTGTCATATGACATTCTGAATTAATTATGTACTTCTTGGCATATTTTTGAGGATGAGAGTGGGATTAGACATCTATGACAATTATCACTTGAGCCATTTTAATCAACTTTTAATGAAAAGTTAGAAAATAATCTTTTAACCTTTATGATAGGTGATTTTATTTTTCTGAATTAACTTCTTGTTTAGGAGGTGATTAATTTTGTATTCTCTCATACTTTGGAGGCAGCATAGTGTAGATGTTAAGAGCATGAAATTTGGAGTCACATTCCCTGGCTTGAAATTCTGGCTCTGTTATTTAGGTTAGGTTATTTTATCTTTTTATGCTTCCTTGTCTTCATCTGCAAAAAAAAATTAGTTGATATTCATAAGACCTGGAGCAGTGTTTGTTATGTAGTGAATACTACATGAATAAAATTTGTAAAATAAAGGATAGGTTTTCTGAATCCAGGTTTAGCTTTTGCCTTTCTTCATGAGTTTTGAATGTTCAGAGGCATTCTCACAGGGCAGTGATCCCCAAATGTAATGATTGCTCTCTGGCTCTGGTTATTTATTAGAATAACAAGAAATCACTGAGACACTGTGTAAGGGGTTATAAGATTATACGTTTTCTACTTCTACTTTTAAGGAGTGTATGCTGAATTATAAGGGATAAAATATATGCACAGTTCAGGTAAATTGTCATGCAGGTTGACATGGTGCTGATGATAAGAGTGCTTGGGTGGGGCCAGTGGAAGGAAGCTTCATGGGCTTTTGAATTGAGATGTGAATAGATTTTTAAAAACGGAGCCAGGTGTGGGGTAGTAGGTGTTTATTAGCAAATAACAGTATTCTAAAAAGAATTGTAGGATAAAGGGGGGCTGGGTCAGGTGGGAAAAGTTAAGACAGTGTCAAATCAGGGATTAGTAGCCTAACAACAAAATACTCAGTTGGTTTATGTAGTTAACTTCCTAGAGAGAGCAATTTGTGTAGCTTTCCTGGGACTCTGGGTTCCTCATCTATAAGATGAGGAACATGGGCTCACTGGTTTGTAAAGCTCCCTCCAGTTTGCAGATTTCATAATTATTTGTATCCTCTGAAGTTTAACATACATACAGAAAAGGCACAAATCATTGGTGTTCCACTTACATCGTATCCTCCAAATTAGAATTTATTTGTGAGATTTATTTATGAAGTATTTTGATTGATGCCTGGATCCTTCAATTATGCTAAACATTTAGTAAAGCTTCACATTTGTAGCCACAGTGCCAGACACATAGTTTCTTAGTGTTTGTTAAATTAATATATGAAAGAACTTAGGTTACGGTAGGATCACTTTCGAAGGGCCTTTGCAAGTGGTAATACCAGAAAGACCTAGTTAATTTACATGAATCACTAAGAATCCCCTATAAGTTCCATGTCATTATCCATATACTTTACTTGTTAAACACTTTATTCCTCTAAAGATAAACACAAGGGGCCGGGCGCGGTGGCTAAAGCCTGTAATCCCAGCACTTTGGGAGGCCGAGGTGGGTGGATCACGAGGTCGAGAGATCGAGACCATCCTGGTCAACATGGTGAAACCCCGTCTCTACTAAAAATACAAAAAATTAGCTGGGCATGGTAGGCACATGCCTGTAATTCCAGCTACTCAGGAGGCTGAGGCAG